AACATGTCAATGTTTTTCCATAGCTGTATTTCTAATATATCCTTTCAACATAAAATTTGCATTTATCCCGGGCATCTACACATACAAAGAAATCAAAGCAAATTCATCCACAAATGTGGTTATGAGAAAAATATTTAAGACATATAAAAAGGACTGGTAAGAATCCAGTTGAAATCTGCCAGTATATTAAAAATGTATTCCTGCAGTTTTTCTAGAAAGAAATATCAATTGATGGCCTACAAAAAAAAAAGCTTTTTATTTAGTCAAAAGAATAATGAAGGATTGTGTAAAGAAAGACACACTTGGAGTGGGCATCAGAAAACCCTTGCAATAACAGGAGAAGTTTTTCTATGAAAAAAATAGGTAGAACACAAAGCTGCAGTAACCGCTACGCACAATCAGTGCACAATACTCCACTGCTAAAGAAAAACACACATTGAAGCTTGTTGAGAGTTTGCTGCACATGATTTGAACAAGTCAGGTAAAAAGTTAAACCCTGTGAACCGTTTTGGAGGAAGAATGATTCTGCACACCGCAGATAAATCACGATGCCAAAAAAGTCAAGCAGACTGTCATACGGCATACAATACTGGAAGACAACATATAATTGAAGGTGGGACGAATGAAGCAATGTGTTGCAAGATTATTGATAATTTAAAGATGAGTGTGTATTTCCAAGCAAGTCAATAATTCCAAAAACACAGCAAAGGAATCTCTTAACCGGACTCAAAGAAAAACCTGCTAGAATCGCCCAATCAGTCGCCGCTGAATTTTCACCCATAATTATAAACTAAATTGTTTTGATTTTTCTGTATGTGTTCTTAGCAACATGTGGTATACATTTCTTGTTAAAAGGAAAATTCAAATATAATTTGCTGTGGTCAACTGTTATTTCACGTAACTTACATACAGTTTTAATTCTCACCAAAATGAGCATTTCAAAGAAGATCATGTGTTTAGCTCCTTTAGCTAAACACATTGTTAGCCTACCTTTATGGTAACCACTAGTCCCTAACAGTAAGTAAACAGTTTTATATTCAACTGATGTTTTAGCATTTGTTTTCAATAGTGTTGTTTAGGGTCATTAATAAAAAGTTGGAGCTTCAGCCTGATTGCCTAACAAGGTCTACAGCAGTGTGTTTGTGCTCCCGTTAATGGTTGATTGATTATAGAGTAATTGGTAATCAGGGAGTAACATCATGCAGGTGCGTGTTGTTTAGGTGCAGAAAAACAGGCCAGTAATCAAATAATTATGGAGCACACAGATGAGTCACATCAAGGTCAATGCCTTCACTCATATACACACACAGACACAAATACAACATCAGCTGAATATAAAACTGTTTAAAGAAAATACACAAAAAGTAGAAGTAAAGACTGATTAATGATTTAGGCAATATATGTCTTTAAACAAAGAGTATTAAGTATTTTCCAGGCACAAATCAAGTAACTATGTCACCTTCAGTTGATATTAAAATACTACGTATATCAAACATGACTCAAAAGAAACGTGACTTTGCATCACAGCCATATCTCACATCTTAAAATCAGCACCTGTCTCTTTAAGAACCTCATATCTGACACCTTCAGCATGCCATCACAGCAATGCTTCTCCATGCTCTCCATTCACAAGCGTTGTAGCTTGTATGACAAGCTTAGCAGATGCAAAGTTCCACCAGTGGCTGCTGCTAGTCTGGTGGAGCGGGAGACTGCAGCTCTAAGGAGGAGATTTAGGAATCCGGGCGGTGTATCGCAGGAGTAGGTGCTGAGACACCCCATAGAAGATTCAAGGAATCCTCAAACATGCATGAATGAGTCACAGCAACACTCCAAGTGCGTCATTAATGATGGAATGACATTTTAGGATGATATAAAGATCAAAATTGTTCCGTAGACTATCCCACCTTATAGCCGGGAGTCCGATTTAGGGCTTCACCTACAATAAATTAGTAACAAAGCCAAATAACTATCTTTGAGAAGCAAGTTTTAAATTTTAATCTAAAACGTAATTCAGCTTTTGGATGAAAATCAAAAGATTACTGTGCCAGACCTGGTTCCCCGTTTTCTCTCGATCCTAACGGCGCCTCTGCACCATTTGCACCGTATCTCAGAATTATGAAACAAATTTCTTTTTGTCTTATCCTGTCACTTTAAGATACCTCACACCTCCTGTTTTCAGTGCTTTCACTTCTTTTTGTGGACATCAGCACGTCAATGAAAAAGCTTGGTGAAGCACCCCCACTATGTGAAAGTCTCTCCCTCTTTCCATGTCTTCTCAAAATCCTTCCTTTTATGAAAATATTTGCCCTTGCCTTGTCAAGAAACTCTCTTTGAGAGCACATGATAATGCCTGACAGCCAGAGAGCAGGAGAGTCGATCTCACTCACAAACAGACACCAAATACACACACACACACACACACACACACACACACACACACACACACACAGAGATGCTTATCGGATTCCAGCAAGGACACAAATTCACTATACAGATGCATAAACTCATAAAGATTCATGTTACTAAGCAGTGATAACACTCAGAAATTCTCAATTTCCTCACAGAACATCAAATGACTCGTGCATGTCTCCCTGAAATGGATTATTTTAAAAGAATTGAAGAAAAAGAGTCTGACTGGTAATATCCTATGACAGGAAGCTACTAATGGACCAACTGGACAAGGTAACGTTTGAAACATAAAACATGCTGACGGCACTACAGGGAAAAAAACAAAAGCTTTTAATTTATCTGGTAAAGTCTTTTCTTCTGAAACTGACTCAGAACAGAGCAAGTGCAGAGTTGATTTAAGGGCAAAGAAAAATACGCATGGCATTCGAGATGTGCAGTGAAGGAGCTACAAGGTGCTGAGACTAATTTCTCATCCCTTTTAATGAAAGATAAAGTTGCAGTTGTTACTGAGCCACATAGATGTATTTCATTTTTGTCACATGCACATTTTCTCTTGTTTTTAGGTCGGTTAGAAATACCAAAATTATTTCTGTTTGCTAAATGCCAGAAAACTTGGTCAGTATCAGGGATAATTAGTGTTCAAACTGCATGACTTGAGTCAAACCTTTTGGTTGGGTTTCTTTCCAGAAACTTCTCACAGCAGCTTGCTGGCGTTCTGGCCCGTTCCTTCTGACAGAAATAACTCAGGATTGCAGGTCACCTCACAGAGGTGTGAGGCACATCTTTTCAGATGTGCCTCACAGATCAGGGCTTTGTGATGGCCATGCCAGAACACTCTTTGTTGTTCTTAGGTTACTTTGTAACCACTTAGCAAAAACATTATTGTCATTGTCCATTTAAAAAAAAAAACAGTCTTTGCCTAAGATTAAACTTCCAGCCTGATGTCTTCAGATGTTGCTTCATTATTTGAGCTTTACGATGGTTGTACATTCCCATCTTGTATAAACTTGTGCATAATTGTTTGAGCAGATGAACATAACACCTTCATGCATCTGGAAATTGTTCCCAAGGGTGAAGCAGACTTGTGCGGCTCCACATTTCCCTTCCTGATATCTTGGCTGATTATTATTATTATTTTTTTTACTGTGTCAAACAAGAAACTGTGTGTTCCAGATGTAGCCTTAAAATATATCCAGAGGTGTGGCTCCTAACACCGCCTCCTCATTGTCAACTCCATTGAACTCAAATGTGTCAGTTCACCAATTAGAGGTTTCGAAAGCAATTACATTATCATACGGGCTTCCCCTTGGGACAGAAATCAATCTGTATGTAAGCCTCGGAATTCAAATAAAGTTACAAAAAAATATCTAAAATACGTTCTCGCTAAGTTTTCTGGCATTTACCAATATTTTTGGTAACCTAAAGCAAGATAAGCTTTGATTTAACTTCAGACTCTAAAGAAAAAAAAAAAAAAGACCTTTTTATTTGGCTTATGTAAACGTCTGGTTTCAGCAGCAGTACCGAGCTACGAACTGCAGCTGAGCATTTCCATCCTTTCATGGAAACAACAATTCTTCGTGCCTGTGACCTCTTTCACCAGGGCATTGACTGACAGAAGGTCTGCTCACTATGAATGTAGTCACATAGTGTTGATGAAGGAGAAATGCTACAAAGCAATTACTTTATGAAAGCGTAACATATTTAAGCCGTCTCCACATCTCGGATGTAGTAAAACAGGATGTGAAGGCAGCAGACCACTTCACTTCCCATAATATCAGTTTATGATCCTTTTTAGTTTTCAATTTGACCACTAGATCATAAATTTCAGTGTTAAAGATATGGCACCACAAGTAATCATTTATGCAGAATGATGCATTTAATTGTCAACTATTAAATGACTTCAAATCATATAGAAAAAACTGTGTATAAACTTGACAACAATCTCTGTTTTTAAAAGAAACGGCAGGAACAAACAGTAACAAATAAACTGGAATCGATATTCAGATGGCAAGTAAAATGTGCTGCCAAGTGGAGGAAGTTTGTGATTGTCAGCACAACAATGGTGATCCCTGAGCAAAGATACTAAAACTTTAAACGAGAAATGAACTGCAGAGTTGCTAAAACGCGTCTGGGCTCAGTGATGCAGCGGCACAAGAAGGCCATCACACAATCAGAAACCGCAAACGAACAAAGCCCACCGCTCCTTTTGCTGTAACCCCCGGGTAAAGCATCCCGAGCTGAGCGGGCCATTTAGCCGGCCGACTTGTATTCCCTTTCCACTTATTAAATAACTTTTTAATGAGCGTTCGTCACGGCAAACGGCCCCTGCGATCCCACGTTTCACTGGGGATCTGACCTCGACCTTCACAGTCTATTCACTCCAGCTTTACAACACGTAAATGAAATTGACCGGAGAGGCGCCCTGCAGAGGTAATCTGCAAAAAGATCCGATACTGTAGGTCCCGTAAAAGCGTGCTCGCTGGCTGACAGGAATATTTACAATGAGGACACACACAAACAGAGGTGAGGCAGAGACGCATTTACCTGTATGACTTCTGTGTGCATGTGTGAGGGAGGTCAGACAAAGGGATAGCAGAAGACTCCATACACCTACTCCGCAAATCCAAAGACCCCGCTCCCGCATTCTGTAAGAAGCAGATGAAAGCAGACGCCATCAGAATACGAAATGCATTTTTTTTTCCCCAATCTACATTGCACGCAAAAAGAAAAAAAAAAAAACACACACACGTATGCAGCTGAAACATTAGTTGCTCTGTTGCAGAGTGATGCCCTGTTCATATGTTTTAATAAGTGAGGCAAAGGTTGTTTTTTTTGTTGTTGTTGTTTAACTCTCTGTTCAGGTATAAATCAAAATTGAAATTAGACATTGACATGTAAACATTTTGTTTTAAAAGTTGAATATTTAAAAGAACTGTATATTTATTGTGGTGTCTAGACATTTTCGCATGACTCTAGGCGTCTCCTGTAGGCCGGGTGGGGTTTTAACAAACAAACAAAACTTTATACATTAACATTTTGAGCCAAAACAATAGGTAACAAGATAAGTCATACCAATATATTTGATTTAACAATTTTAAACAGTGTCTAATAATTACATGAAGAACAGTATTTTGAGATATTAATGCAAGATGAAAACAATTTTTCCTGTCTGTTCTCCAGTATGCTGAAGCTAAATCAGTACCTCTTGCAGTAAGATTTGCAAGAGAGCAAATGCAATACAGAGAAAAAAAAAATATTTAATAAAAGCTGGTGTTTTGAACATTACAGGTAAGAAAGATGGGCTCCAATTTTCTGCAATAAAAGAATCTGCCAATTAGTCTCAAACTTGTTTTATCCGCAGCTACGTCAGCCCGTCTGCTGAAAACACGTCACATCTCAAAAAGATGATTCTGCAACCACTAATGAAATCCAAGCAAGAATTTTATTTTTTTTTAATTATTATTCAGCAATTACGTAGTTTAAAAACAGATTTTGTTTTCTGTGAGACATATTACTGTAGGTAATGCACAATGATGGGTACAAACCTTCAAACTGTTTGCCAACCTAAATTTTGTCCTATGTTTACCCGGAGCGAGGGGACGCATAGAAATAAAGCACTTTATATTCCGGGCACCGACTAGGACATAAACTTCCACAACAGGCAAACTCTCTGTCTGCTCCACCAGGAGGGCCCATTTAGTCTGTATCTTTGTGTACATGTGTGTGAGGAAATGACACGAAGAGAAATAGAATAAAGCAAATACAGGCGAAAACGTACAAAGTGACAAGCGGCTCACCATCTGTTGTATCTTCCACATGATTTATTCTCACAAACAAACAAAAACAGAGCGCTGTAGTAGTGCTGGGAGGATGTAAATCTCCTACAAACACACTTCTGCTCTGCGGCTTCTCTTGCTCACGTCGAAAGAGAAGCCACATCCACACATGGCAGAGCGGATTTTGTTTTGGGCATTTCTTGACAAGTAAAGTCTAACTAAATGTGCTATTGCTTCACTTCAGAGCCTCCTGTTTAATTATTAAAAGAAAATAATTAAACAGGCCGGTTGCTTCAAGACAACCAGCTGTGTTGTCTTGAAGCATAATTTGCTATACACTTTTAAAAAAAATGTTTGCACTATTTCAGAAATAATAATAATAATAATAATAATAATAATAATAATAATAATAATAATAAAGTTATGTTTAAATGGAATTTAAAATGATAGATCAGGCAGACATGGGGCTTAATTCTAAAGCGAAAGGAAAACAATGCAGAACTTTTAATATTTCATTTATTTTTCTTTTCCTTACAAACATATCAGAAATGTCTGGCTTGCATTTGTATTCTGCCCTTTAACTGGCACAGCTAATTAAAGTCCAGGGCAACCAGTGGCTGCTAGAAGTCACCTAATTAGAAAACAGAGTTCATCTGTTCTGTGTGTAATTTAACTTGGCATACATTGGGAAGCCATAAAAAGTGCCAAGGCATATCAATCCGTGTATAATCGCTTTGGGTGGGACGAGGGAGCAAAGCAAATGTGTAAAAAAAGGTGCTCTGGCAAACTCAACAATGAAACATGGAATCCCTGCACCATAATGCTGCCACCACCATCCCATATTGGGGGAAAGCCATTCCTACTATCGGATGGTTTTTGTTACCAGGGAAGCTGGTCAGCTGATGAGAACACAAGGCCTGCAGGGCAAAACACTCAGAAAACCAGTCGGCGGTCTGAGACTGTGATGGGGCATGCCCTTCAGGAAGACAGCAAACCAAAACATTAAACCAAAACATTCAGCCAGTGGTGAGATCAGTGGTTTTTAATCCCAGTCCTCAGGGTCCACCGTCATTTGTGTTTTACTTTTGTTCCTGCGTAAGCACAACTGGTTCAAATGATTGCTTTGCCTTCCCAGCATGCCATAAACTGCCTCTGATGCCTGTTAATCACCTATTCATTTAGGTCAGGTGAGTAGCAGCTGGGAAACACCAAAAAAATGCAGCACAGGTCCCGAGGGCCAACATTCAGAACCTCTGTTTTGGATCAAAGCATATTCTGAAGTTGAAACGGCCCAGTCAAAGTCCTGGCTTAAATCCAATTGAGGATTTCCATCAAGACTTAAAGGTTGATGTTCGGAGATGAACAAAAAAGGGTAAAAATATCAAAGTTGGTAGAAGCATACCCCAAAATACCATCAGAATTACACATTATATATTTAGTCTTCACTTGTCTGACACATTATTTCTTTACATCTGTGTGTGAAGACAAGCGACAGGCAGGGCCTCTTGAGGGAAATAAAAGGAAACAAAATAAAAAGGAAGCAAAGCGTGAACATGTTTTGTAATGTGTCAAAAGCGATTGTTTTAAAGTGTGTCTAAAGATAGAATCAATACACTAGATGTTTTTTTTTAGTTTAACTTCCATATATATATATATATATATATATATATATATATATATATATATATATATATATATATATTCCAAGCAATTTCATAATTTTGAATTTCAGAAACATTCCTGCACACAAAACCCCAATGAAATACACTAAAGTTTTTAGTTGCAATGTGAAGAAAAGATGAACAAGTTCAAGGAGTTCTGAACATTTTTCCCAGACTCTGTGTTTTGTCGTCGTTTAGCGCTCATTTACTTTCCCTGTAAACTCTGAAAAGGTGCCACAGAAGAAAGAGAGCACATTTCCGCGAAACACTCTTGAAAGGATTTGTGCCGATTTGAGTAAACCAAACTTTGCGGGTCTGTGAAAGTGAGCAGATTAACTCTGTTGTGGATGAGATTACACACACCTTGCTGGACCCAAGTGTGAGCGTACGAGTCCATCTATGCACACGCACCATGTTCAGGCACACACACACACACACACACACACACTTTCTCTGTGCATGCGCGTCTCTTTGCCCTGAGGAAGTGTGTGTGTTAAGCCCTGGCTTGAGTTCGGAGCTTGGTGCATGACTCATCTGGCCGTTACAGACAGGCATTTTTTAGCAATAAAAATCTGCACAGCTAGAGAGACTAGACCAAGGCTTTATGAAGTTAGAGTCCATCACACATTTTCCAACACACGCATACAGAATCAAAAAAATAAAAACCCATGAAGTGATTAACAACATTCATCTCTTACAGGCTCTGCAGAAAAACAAGGCCGACGTTTTGACATATATGAGACCCAGCTGAGGATTGCTGCAGGTGCCACTGCCGTTCGCTTTTCATAAACCGAATGCATTGTCGGATTTCCTCTTCTCTCTCGTTCGTCTCCTCCTCTTGTCTCCTCCGGTTGTCCCATATCACTCCCTCCACCCCTCGCCCTCTTCCTACCATTCCCACCTATGCTCTGCAAGAAGTAAATAATTAGGAAACAAAGCAGAAACGCTGCCAGCTTCCTCCCCAGCTCATTTAGACCCACAGCAGTGTTTGTGATCATGCAGTGCCACTTCATTATGGCTGGTTGTGGGTCTGTCTGCCGCAGAACAAGTGGGTGTGAGATGCAGAAATGGATTCAGAAAGCAGGGGGGGGAGGATAGGGAAGTGTGTGTGTGTGTGTGTTTGTCACTGCACAGAAACAAGGGGGTTCTAATCAATAGCATCTAAACCGCTTGAGTCTTCATCGGTATCAGACTCCGCAGCCAATGGTGACTCACTCGTCAACAAACACACACAAATCTGCACCGACTCAAAAAAAAAAAAAAAAAAGCACTTTTCTGCACCGACAAACAAATACAAAGAGAATTTGGGAATCCAATTTTACGGTAAGTGCTTGTAAACAATTGTGTTCCACTTGTTTACATCTGATTGTGCGTTTCTGGTAGCGCCTTCGGATGCTGCAGCCACCACAGTTCCTCGGCTGCTCTGATCCGCATCCTGCGGTACGAACGCAGGCAAAGAAAGCAGCATTGGATGTTGTGACCCTTTATAATGTTGCTTTCATCAACTGAACACAGAAGAGCAAAAGAGAGAGAAGAGAGAGAAGAGAGAGAAGCGGTGTTGGAGGAAGAGTTGTGCTCTCCAATGATTTCTGCAGTCTGTTCCATCTCTTTAATTAGTCCCATTGGAGTGCCCTCCCCGCTACATGCGGCTGATCAGTTTCCTCTTCATACTTTTGGTCTGTATTTGAGTGTGTGCATGCATGTGTGTGTGTGTGCGTGCGTGTGTGTGTGTGTGTAGGTATGCATCTTAGCTAAAGCCAGACAGACATCTCTGGGGCATTTGGGCTCCAGTTAAGTTCCCTGTGGCTGAGAATAAAATGTAGTGGAAATATTAATATTCAAGGAGCTTTCACCCTCAGAACCATTTGTAAAAATGGGATACCTGCTTTCTCCGTCTCTGTAGCAATTAGCAAAAAGTGATTCATCTCACATAACATGCAGTAGAGAGCAAGACAAGACGCTGCATAGGGCTGAAATGATTCATTGAGTAACTCGAATAACTTGCTTAAAACAAATCTTGTGGCAAAAATCTTTCATCGAATGGACCGTTTAGGAAATATTTTACAAGGACAATCATGCTTACAAGTGGCTCTTTCACAAAACTGTGCCACGAAATATTCAGAAAAGGTCCACCTCATACACTACGTCTGATTGTTCAGAAATCACAGCTTGGACCACCCATGTCCCGTCAGAATGTCAGCTTAAAAA